ACCATTCCTGCAGCCTGTCTCCAGGCAGCTAGGAGCGGCAGAGGGAAAAACCAGTGATGGGGAGACGGGATCCCTAATCCAAGGGAGGGTTTCTCCTAGCTGCTCTGTTCAACAGGATATGTGTCTGATGCCCACCAGGAGATCAATGCAGTCTCTGGCCTGAACATCAAGAGGCAGCAAAGCTTGGCTGCTAATGCTGCCTGGCTTCAAACTCCCTCTTGGCTGCTTACCAACTCTGTGCCCTCGGGCATGTAACTTACCGCCCTTGTGCCTCAGCTTCCTCATCAGGAACATGGGGATCATAACAGGACCTGCCTGTAGGGTTGTTGCGTGAGGAGTAAAGGTGCCAATGTATGTAAAATGCTTTAAAGGCCGCAGCACATATTAAGTGCCACATGAGTGTTGGGTATTAGTATTATTATAGAGGTAGCGATGCTTGTCATTTGGGCTTTCCAAATTCAACAGACGGGCACGGGTGGCTCTTCTCTGCTAGGTCCTTTGCAGACTCTGTCACTGATCATCATGAAAACACCCGGCTATGAATAGAGAAACTGCGAGCTTAGGCATCCCAGGCCAAGGTCACAGCTGGTAAACACTGGAACAGAGACTCAATCCCGGGTCGGTCTGACTCTAAGGCCACGCTCTTCCCCTTAGTGCTGACTCAAGTTCTCCTGAAATACTGCATTGAAGTTTAGCCCAATATCAAAGTGCAGAGCTGACCTGCTCCTGTTAAAAGCTCCTCACTGCTTTTTGGCTCAAGTGCAATGTCCCGGTTCAGCATTCCGAGGCTCTCCTGTTCTGGCCCCTGCCTATGCCTCAGCATCCCCTCACCCTGCCAGGCACCACTGAGTCCCTAACCTCTCCCGCTCCTCTCCAGGCTGGTTTTCAGGTGAGTTCCCAGTCCCTCTCTAGACTGGAAGGCCCTGGAGGAGCCTCCCAGCACCCTCCTCCCTCAGGATATTTACTCCACTCACTTGATCTTGGCGTGGGCCCGGGTGCTGGTGACCAACCGGAGGGACAGCTCATTCTCGTAGCGAGGGATGTCGTCACAGTACACGGCCTCCCCAGACGCTTGCATGGCCGCGGCCAGGTGGGGCAGGGGCCGACCCACCATGTCCTCCTCGCACTGACCCTTGGGCACCTCCTGGAACAACATGGTCATCAGTCAAGCTGAGCTGCATAAGACACTGTTTCCCTACAGGCCTGGGGAAACTGCAGGGAGCTTCAGGCCAAAGCAAACCTGAGTGAAGACGGAGGAGGCAGGAGGGACACAGGGCAAAGGAACAGAAAGGCAGAGCAGAGGTGGTCATAGTGTCCCTGTATGGGG